TCATTTAGTTATTCAGTAAGCGAGCAGCGCCCGTGCCAGTAGTTTCTTGTTAACCACAGAGTCGCATGTTGCTTGCCTCCGGTTGATGTGGGTTGTGTTAGGCTTGCCAGTCTGGTTGGTTACACCGGTGTTTATGTCCTTCATCATGCCAGTTATTGCTGTTTGCATTCTGGAACAGATGTTGTACGTAAATACCTTGAAGTTGTAAATATTATTCAGCGTTAGTAGCCTCTCAGTCAACCGTGCCATGCCTGACCGCAACCGTGGTTTGCCTCAGGTGAACAGCATTGAGAACGCGCTCAGCGAATGTAAACGCCAGCCCAGCAAGCGCATTCGTAACGGTGCCGTTGCCAATGAAATAGCTGGGGAGACAGCAAAATAGTGCGCGCCGGCAGTTAGTCTGATGATGAATGTCGAGCGAGCGACGCAGTCGCGCCGCTCAACAGAATAGGGGAAGATACAGCGTTGGAGCGCTGAACAATAAATCTCGTGCGAGCTTAAGAGCAGCAAATGGGAGGCCGACATGAAGAATGGACAAAGCCGGCCGGGTGCGCCATTGCCGCATATCAAGCCGTCGCCGTATCGCCAGTGCCAAACCTTGATTAGTCGACAGCTCTTGAGCGTATCTTGTTCACGGGAGACGGCGATCACGCAGCTGATGAAAGTCAGACGCGTGCGCGTTGGTCGTCTGGTCGTTAGTTTCAAACGCATCAGGCGAAAGATGAACTTCAAAGAAAAGTGCACTTCAGGAACAATATTTAAAGCAGCTCGATGGATAACGTTTAGCTGTAACATGTTATTTTGTTACCTCAAAAATGCAGTGGTGACCAGTGATTTGCTTCAATAGGCTGAAATACAATGTTCAAAATTGAAATATAACTTATTAGAGAGAATGGTTACGTCATTGGCCGCTCAATAATCAATGTCATCAGAGGCGGGCCCCGTGATGTTCATAAGTTCTGCTCAGCAGCCGCCAGATATTGTCGGGCCATCATACCAAAGCCGGGCTGGAAGTGCGCAGCATCGGCTGGTGTTGGCAGGCATAGCGGATCCATGTTTAAAGAACAGTGATGCGGAGTATAAATGGCCCTCATCCCAAAAACACGTTGCACAGCATCTAACAGGAGGCAGACTCATCATTCTCACAAAAATTCTGTTACCTTTCATGCCAGTTTTTTGCTCGGTACTGGCTGTCAGTTACCTGTAAATGTCGCTGACAAGAAGACATTCCAGATTAGCTTGTAGTACATAGTCCAGCTTTTTCATGTTCAACTAGAAGAATGGATTCGACTACGTGGGTCATTGAATGGTGCCGAAACATATTTTTATCGGTGCACTGTATCTGATCGCCCGGACAATCGACTGTCTACGCCAGGTGTTATACTGAGATATGTTGGGTTGTTCACTTTTACCTTATATCCTGTTATCTTTGAGTTTTAATGTCATTTTCCTCTCAGTCAATACTACATGAGTCTGGTTTAGAGCCTATAAATGTACCTTTTACCCTTTTTTTCCAATCAAATAGATGCAGCCAAAATAGCCTATTTAAGTATATTTTTGAAGTCAATAGCATTTTGAATCATTAGTGAGCCATATTGTTAGAGGTCACACAGTTTTCTGCAAAATTGACAGATTTTGTAGGCCTGAATGCTCCCATCGAAGGGGGAGGTTTATGAAATCGATGTCCCCCACCCCCAGGGTTGCCACCCCGCCTTAAATGAGACAGCAAGTATGCAAGCGTTTGGACATCCTTATTTTTGGGCCTCCACATCGTTGAGGTGAATAACACCAGCTCAGTTTTGTAGTCCTGTTTTATAAACTGGCTCTATCCTCAAAGAAAAAGTCGTGTAAGATCAGGTGACGAGTAGCCATTTCTTTCAATTACCTTCGGAAATCTACCAGTTGCTCGAACACAGCGGAGCGGTCGCCCAGCGAAAGTGAATAAAAATCTTCACAGCACAGTTGTCGACGCCCTTCTACCGCACGCGGTCGCGGATCACCGCCCGGCCGCTCTTCAGAACAGCTTCCTGATTTTGCGCGTACTTCCCGTGGTCAGCGAAGCCAATAGCGTCAATTATGTTTATTGATATCTCCATTGCGAATGTGCATTCGTCGTGCAGCGTAGTTTAAAAAAGGCCTCTGAGCCCGTGTCGGCCAGTCACCACTCGATCTGTCATCTTCACCAATGCGCAATTTGAGCGATGGAATTTCCAGAAACTTGTTACTCAGGATGATGACAGCAGTCTGGCGGGAGACCCGCAGTTCACCCACTGTCGTAGCCTCTAGCCTGATGTGCTGCAGTCAATGTAGAAACATCGGGGCGGATCAGCAGCAGTAGTCTTAGGCTCCATATGATTCATAAACAATAAGATATTCGATTCAACTTCTTTCTTTTCGTTGTTTTGAATCTCAACCATTTTTATAAAGCTGTAGAGCGAAATTGAAAGGAAACTTATGCATTAACATCACAAAGTGACACTGATATTTCAGAAGAATCCCAACGAAATATCAGTGTCACTTTGTGATGTTAATGCATAAGTTTCCTTTCAATTTCGCTCTACAGCTTTATAAAAATGGTTGGTTCCAGAGAGTAAACTGAAAGAAAGAGTTGAATTAGTGCTTATTTATGTTTATGGATCATGTAATGAATCACCTCGGACTACTGCCGCTGTTCTCAATGCAAGACACCCCGATAAAAATGTTTCTCACGTTTATTGCATGCAGCTTATTCAAAGGTTTAGAACCACGGCGTCGGTAGCCAATTCAAAACGTAGAGGTCCTAGGGTTCTTGATGAGGCTACTCAAATTGAGGTTTTAGGACATTTTGCGGCAGATCCATGTACTTCCATAAGGTTTTCTAATGCCACCTACGTGTCAGCCGGATCAATCCACAAGGTAACTAAGTTTCACAAATTCCATCCGTATAAAATTCAAATTCTACACGCATTGAATGAAGATGACCCAGATCGAAGAATTCAATTTTGTGAAGAAATGACTGAGTACATTGCACGAACTCCAAATTTGCTTTTAAACACATGTTTTACTGACGAATGCACATTTTTCCTTAATGGAGATATCAATAAACATAATTGTCGCTATTGGAGTGATGAAAACCCTCATATTTTTAGAGAGGGGCATACGCAGTACTCACAAAAAATCAATGTTTGGGCGGGAGTTGTACTGTATTCCTAAATGAAAATCTGACGAGGGAGATTTACCTAAACATGTTGGAAGAAGCAATTGATCCACTAATTACTGATGCAGTAGAAAATAAAAGGGACGACGTCGGTAACGCAATACTTAATGAAGATTTTATTCACTTTCAACAAGACGGTGCGCGTCCCCACTACGCCAGATATGTCCGGGATTGGCTGGGCGATAGATTTTCAGAGAGGTGGATAGGAAGAAGAGAGCCAATAGAATGGCCTATAAGGTCACCTGATCTTATCCCAAACGACTTTTTTCTTTGGGATCATTTAAAGTCAGTAGTTTATAAAACCGTTCCCCAAAATATTGAAGATAGAACCTTAAAATGGATGTTATTCCTCAACGATAAATTAAAATTTAAAAAATAGGATGTCAAAATGTTCAGAATAAAAAGCGCTTTAAAATGATGTGTCACACGACCCCTTGTCTCATTTAAAAAAAATTGGGGTATGACGCCCTGGGGGTTAGTTGAAGCAGGGCCTTTCGATTTTTCATAAAACACCTTTCCCCTCGATAAATTTGTTGACGTGTTTCCACGAATATCACAAATCTGTCAATTTTTGCAGAAAACGTGGGTGGTAGGGGAAAGGTCCCTATATTGAACCACTTAAGCAAATATGATTTTTTTAAAAAATTCTATGACCAATTCTTATTCCAAAAAATATATGCCATCATTAGAAAGTGTCACAAACGCATATTTGTTTTTAAACACCTTAAAAATCTATTTGGTTGGAAAAAAATAAAGAATAAAAAATTTTAAGTCACTGGTCCAATTTGGGATCTTGGCTTCTTATTTTGAACCATAGGTTTCCTAAATTGAACCATGCTAATTTCTAATTATTTAAGGAAAAATATTATTTATTAAAATAAAGATAACGTTCTATAGGAAGTTAAAGATATAAGTAGACAACAAACTTAATAACATATCTCAAAAAAATTATAACACACATAACATGTAAACGAATCAGTTAGTCACTGTCAGAGCGATCAGATTCACAATTTATGCACCGATAAAAATACTGTTTCGGCCATTAGTGCATTTCAAGTGAGCCCATTTTTTACATGAGGTGCATCGAATCCATTCTTCCCCTGGATTGGACTGTGAAAATGGATATAGGTATACAAACAATGCAAAGACTATCTTCGTTGTCAGATTCACTTGACGATTCCTGTATGGAGTGCTGGTTAGTAATGTAGTACCATTAGAAGTGACTGAAGGCAAAACTGGCATAGGAGATATTTCGGACACAGATTTAAATTTTTGTAAGGATGATGTGGAACATTCTGCATCCACTGATTCTTCCAAGGTAGAGGTAGATGGGATTTCCAAGCGGCTATTGACGCTAGTAGAAACTTCTTGTGCAACTGCTTGTGTTTTAGGTTCTATTTGGTCCTTTAGGGTATTTATGCAATCCATGTTATCACTGGGAAGACTAACAAACTCACTATCGTCAAAAACATTCGGATCTAAAGGCCATATGCCACATTTTGCAAAGCCGCTAACGGCGTTTCCAATTATGCTGCTTTAAAGGCAGCCTCTTGATTACTTGAAATTAAAAAATATTTTTGACTGCATTGGCACGAAGCCACTTGGTCAGCTGCTTGGTTTAAAAATATGAACTAAGGGGCTTAAAAAATGAACTATCACACGGTTGCATCTGATGTGTGGTGAGTTTTGGTAATGACATCATGTAATTATTCACAGAGTTATGGTCAAGCAGATTGGTGTGTTGTGTGACCGTCCATACTAAAATGCATCGTTTTTTATTTTTTGATTTCTGGGTTTTACGAAATTACTTAAAATGCTTTAGCCAATTTACAAATAATTCGCTGGTTATCCATCCCGATTCCGAACAAGCAAATATTGTTCCTGGAGGTGCGCTTTCTTTGAGTTCATCTTTAAATCTGATGCGTTTGAAATTTAACATCGGTGGACTGTACATTCCGGCAGCATTAAAACAGCAAACGCACGTGGTATTTACGCCTCGTTCGCCACTTGTTAAAGATCCTATTTGATGCTTGCCCTTTCGTCCAATAATTTTCTGTGGTCTCTGGACTGTAGAAAGACCAGTCTCGTCGACATTATATATCTCCGATGGACCAAAGTTATGCTTATCAAAAAGAGCAGTAAGACAATCAAAAAAAAAGTTTAACTTTTTCCTTGGTAAACCCTAGAGCCCTGGCCGATGAAGTACGTTCTGGCTGACGAAGCGATAACTCTTTGTGTCGCGACATAAAGCAATAATACCACTTATTACCGGCTTGTCCATTCTTCAATCTATGTCGAATCCCATTTGCTTCAGCGACGTCGTAAGCCAGCTTTCTTAAATCACTACGGGTTATTCCAAACAGCCTCCGTTCAAGCTCCAGAACATGTGTAACTATCTCCCCCTCTAATTCTGGTGGAAGATCTGCACCACGACCAAATTTTTTTTCGCTTCCATGAACATTCTTATTCGTATCATCAATTCTTCGTTTCAGCGTTGCCTTTGGTATCTTATATCTCCTAGCTATTTCATTTAACCCAGCAGCACCATTCTGAAATGCGATTAACGCTTCATTCATATTTTGTTCACTCCATTTCCCATATTTTGCACATTCTGTCATATTAACTTGAAATAAACCACAGCTGCTTAATTTGGACTGGTCCGATGGCAAGAAACTTCAAACAGTTCAATTTAGGAAACTATAACCTTGAATAATATTTATAACTTCAAAAAGGTGTTATTACAACTATCTGTTAAATTATATGTCTAAACAATAGCTAATAGCCTGCTTAAACTGTATGTCCATTAAAAATGGAATATAAACTTACCAGTGTATTATTAGGCCTTAGCGAAATTTATAACAATATTACATCAACCGGAGCAAAAACATGAAACATACGACTCTGTGGTTAATAAGAAAACTACTAACGGGCGCCTCCTTACTAGTGCTAAATAAGATGTAAGCTATATACAAATATCGGTCAACAGAGGCCGCTTTAGTCCGTTAATATAAAAATAAAAGTGGTGGTTCAATTTAGGATGCGGTCCAACTTAGGAGGCTTTCCCCTAAGTTTTAAAATGAACACCCTGTATGCACATCCCTGGTAAATATGTCGACACTTTTTTGGCATTAAAATATGTCGCATAGTAACCTTCAAGTTTACCTTCAAATTTCATTCGAGTCTTCAAAAGCACTTGGAAGAAAATTATAATAAATCGAAAAAAGATGAAGACTTTTTAAAAGACGAAACAAAGCAGAATCGGACCTATATGTGAATAATATGAAAAATAAATCTTATTTTTGAGAGGAATCTCACCCACGACAGATGGTACATGTTTTTTTGAAACGCCCTGTATAATTTGACTAACACGATCTCTATAAAAGACATTTTTATTTCAATGAATACAAAATTTTCTGCAGTATTCTGCACCAATTTCAATATGAGCTTCAAGTAATAACTCAGAAATAGAAGTTACTGTTATTTCTACACTTTCTGTGGCTTTATTTTCATTCGAGACGCGATACATTACTATCAAATAAAGTAATAATAGATATCAATTAAAATTGTATACTAAATTTACAGGATTTATTAACATAAAACATTTCGCAAACGAACAACAATAACATCCAAATCTCACTTTCTACACAGCAACTCAACTATCGGGCGTAGGCCCTTTATTAAATGTCAGATGAACGAGTTTTTTCGTTCCGTTTCTCCATTTCTCACCATAATGACTCCCATGAACGGCATTATCTAGTTCTACGGGAACATGAATGAATCGAAACGCCATACCGAGCGCTGAAACGCTATTTATTTACAATAAATGGCGGTGAATTGGCGATTTTCACACCAAAAGGTACGATAGGCGCAGTCATCGCATCGTTTTTAAAGTCAAATAGTGAAGGCGGGGTTCGAATAATAATGGCGAGTCATCGGTTACTCTACCCGGGGATTTTTCCTATGGGAAGCTTTCACCTAATCGAGGGCTTTTGATGGTAAATCTAAAGGAAACTATGATAAAATGACTTAACCCTTTAACGCCTGATTTAATTTTTGTTCGAAAAAAAGGCCATTATACTCATTTTAGTCATTTTAGGAGTTAATTAAGACACACACTGAGAAAAAATGAAACTTTTTCTCAGACTTTTCGAAAAAAACTATGTGACCATATGGTAATACTAGGCGGTTTGCCTACCTATTTTTGGAAATATTATGAAGGAAAATTTTTACATACATGTTTATTTAAAGTTATTATAAATACATTATTTTATGGTCAGGTAACACCTATAGAGTATGAAATATGAAAAAACAGTCAATACAGAGTCCGACATTGCACTTTTTACACATCGTTCTACCGACTGTGGAACAACCCTCCCCATTAATTGATTTTCGGATTCTGGGAGAAAAATGAAGGTGAGTTTTTAAGAGAAGTATATGACTAAAATGTAAGGTTTTTGACATATTTAACATTTTCTAGAAATAAAGAACAATTTTATAAATTACAATAAAAGCTACCTAAATTGGAATTTACCTGGTATAGTCTAATATGTAGTTAAATTAACTATTGTACTTTAAATCAAACTAAAACTTCATCCAAAAAGTTATACAGGGTGAGACAAAATTAATATTGAACATTGGTCACCTTTAAAAGCATGTTACTCTTTTATTTTAAATGGAACACCCAGTATATTATTCCGATATTCAATGGAGAATTCATGTCTCTTCAAAATACTATTAAGGTTGCCTACCCCTCAAACAAATATTTTCCTAGATATTTTCATTTACATGATTTGATCTGAGTAGATCTTTATTATTTATAACCTTTCATATTTTTCCTACAATCCAAAATCGATTAATATATAGGGTGTTCCAATTCAACACAACTTTGATGTGTGTAACTTTGGGGGACACCCTGTATAATTCTATATATTTTTATAAAATTCTTTCAGTTAACCTACATATACTACCAAAATTTCATTTCGATATAAATTACCGTTCTCCTTGGAGCTTCAGCGGCGTATGAGAGGCACCACCCTGTACATATATGAGCATACACAGGATGAGTGTCCACGAATGTGCGTTCATCAATCGCTGTGTATAGTCTGTCCAACGACAAAATCCTTGACAATGATTTAATTTCAAAGTAGTTAATTTTATTTTACAAAGAAATAAGTTGGTACAACTGGAACGCAGAGCAGAAAAATTAATAAATATATTTAAAATTTGAATGACGAAGTGATTACTTCAAAATATTGTATATACTTTAAAAAAACTGTATAAAACTGAATAAATTTAATCGAGTTATTTTATTAAGAAAAAGTCGGCATGTGTAAATACAAATTAAGCAAGGGTTTATTTTAAACAAAACACCACATAAAAAAAAAATATATAATACAGATTTCTTACTTTTTAAGCTCAAGCAAATTCCTGCATTTATTATTAAATTTATCAATATAACTTTAAAAAAAAAAATATTTTATTAATAATAACACTTACTAAATTTTATACCTTAAAAGTTGGTTAATTTAACTGGTAATATTTGGGTTGGTAATTTTAATCTTAATTTTTTTAAACCAGTATCTTTTGACATTATTTCTCTGTAGTACTAAAATGTATTATTTACCTATCGTGTGATTTTACCAATACTCCAGTTTTTGGTACCATATACGAGATGGTCTACAAACTTTATTTGTGGCTAATACATCTCTCTGGCCATAGTCTCTGGCAAACTGTGTCTCTGGCGGTCTTGGACACCGAATATTAACTGTAAACTATGGTCTCGGTCAACACTTAATTTTTCCTCGAGTTTTCCTCAACTTAATTTTAAAAACACGAAACACAGTTAATAACACAGTCCGAAATGCAAAATGCAAATATTTATCATTTCTATTTGACATAATTTGACACAAAATTATAACCTATAATTTGGCAAGAGTTAGACAACTCCTTTGAATAAGAAGATTAAGGAAGGAGCATATCAAAATCTTAGGTACACCGCGATAGGCCTCAAATATGGCCGACTTAAATTCCGGTTTATCAGTGTCGTTCTAATTTTTATTTAAAAAATGTAAAACTATGATGTAGGGTAGACGTGGGGTAGACTCAATAATTTGTTAGTTTATTTTACGTTGTGAATAAATGTTGGTAGTTATTAAAATTGTTATAAAAATATATAATTCTAATAAAAATAGATAAGTTATAATAAGTATTTATTAACACAAACATCCGATACGCTACTGAAGCAGGTAAGTCAAATTAACGTATCAAAATTCTTTGACATCTGATCTTTGACAAGTAAATAAAAGCTAAAATGCAAGAAAATATATAATTTAGTTAATTTAAGTGAATTTCATAAATGATCGGTTTACTACACGTATGTATACTATATAGTCACTTACTAGCGAAAAGTTGTTCCATTATTTCACTCAATTTTTTCCGAGATCTACCGCACGCTACACAACCAACTATTTTAGAGTTTTTTTCGATAAATCGCGATAATGTCACTGTTAATTTAAGTTCTGCCACAATTTCCATCTACATTTACTACCTTTATACAACTATCAGTAGTAGAATAAATAATAAGTAACATAAAATAAGCTCCGTAAAGACTGATAAATCCACAAAATTTCAAATCAAATTCAAATGTGTCAAATGAATCGTCAAACAGAACTGTCAAGGATCCCCACCCTAGAGAGCTTTTTCCGCCCACCATCATGAATACATGGATAGCATTATGCTCCTTCCTTAGTCTTCTTATTCAAAGGACAACTCTCAAAAATCTTAAGTCGAGTCCATACGCATTGGCATCCGTTTGTCATCATATCGTTTCGTCAAACCAATAATCCATAGTAAACTTAAAAAATATGGAGATTTTGCGTCATCGAGTGTATTTGTATAAAGGACACTTTACTTAGGATAGCGGTTACAGTTAAAGAAGGAATTGCACTAATCCTGCGTTTTTTAGCAACTGAAAATTTGTATACGAATTTGGAGGATCTATAATTTCAAAATTTCCAAACCATTGATTTTTTAAGGGTAGTTTCTGAGATTTTCCAAACTTTAATTGAGACTTATGATCAGTCGTCAAAAGTGTGATATCTAATCGCGAATTTTGCAGCCATGGGGATTAGATGAAAAATGTGACATAGGAAGTGACGGATTTCTGTCATTTAAACAAATTGCTTTTGTGTTTTTCGCTGGCATGAAGATTTAGCGTCATTTAGCCCTTAATTTGAAACTGTATTTGTCGGCGTCATTGCTTTAATTTTTATTATGTATATAAAACAATATTATATTATCAGCAATCGTTATTAAAACAAATAATTAGGTAAATCGAATTCTATACAACGAGTTAATTATTTTAACGTGATTTATTGTGCATTTTAAAATGCATTTTTTTTCTGAGTGTATTAGATTACAGTAATCTTCTATTTTCCGTCTCTTGAAGAAGCCTCTTATAAAACTGTCCATTTTCCAACTCAATATGACACGGTCTATATTCGAAAACCATTCTACTTTTAAGTTTATTAAATTTTAAACCCATATAAAATTGTCAAATCTTTTAAAAAACTAGTATACTTCATTACCTACCTCTGAAATATATAGTTAAAAATATGTT